ATGTATAATTTTAACAAGATGGATTCGAATAGTCAATTAAACAAATTATTGGGTAATTAATGTTTAGGGGTTAGATGAGGATGATAGTTTGTTGTCCCAAAATCATGAAAATTTCGATGGTGCATACGATAGGCCTGAAATAAAACTAAAATAATTCTCGTGACCTATAAACTAAAAAAAAACAAAAAATACCTAAAATTGGGGACCTAAAACTAAATTTGAACTAGTGACCTATAGACTATTCGTTTAACATTTGACCATTCGCGCGGTAATAACATTTGTTCATAATTATGAAAGAAAATGTATTTACTCTCTTTCGTATCAGTTGTTTATTAAATATCACTAATAAATTTAAAATGAGATATTATCAATAAATATAGTCTAATAACTACTAAAGATAAATTGATGAAAGATTGACATGTACCATGATTAATTGTATTACTCAATTAAAACTTGATCATGCATATATAATTGCATTCAATTAACTTATATTTTTGAGTGAGCATAACTCATATAATACTATATCAATTAAATTTATTTTCATCATAATGATTCGACTTATAATACTGAAAAATCTTCAATTTTTGTGAAACAATCTAAATATAACTTTTACAATCTTATTTACCAAAAAAATGAATTTAAAAATCATTTAAATCCTTAAAGTTTTAAAGAGTCTAATTTTTTTTTAAATACCTAAAATTTGGGGACCTAAAACTAAATTTGAACTTGTGACCTATAGACAATTCGTTTAACTTTTAACCATTTGCGCTGTAATAACATTCGATCATAATTATGAAAGGAAATATATTTACTCTCTTTCATATCAGTTGTTTAATGAATATCACTAGTAAATTTAAAATGTGATATTATCAATAAATACAGTCTAATAACCCATAACACGTTAAGATAAATTGATCAAAGATTGACATGTATCATAACTAATTGTATTATCCAATTATAGCTTGATCATGCATATATAATCACATTCAGTTGACTTGTACTTGTGAAAGAGCATAACTCATATAACTGTATCTATTACATTTATTTTCTTCATAATGATTCGACTTATAATAACGAAAAATCTTCAATTTTTGTGAAACAATCTAAATATAAACTTTTACAATCATATTTACCAAAGTAATATAAAATTAAAAATTATTCAAATCCTAATAGCTTCAAAGAGTCTAATTTTAAAAAAAAAAATACTTAAATTGGGACCTTACCTAGATTGGAACTCGTGACCTATAGACTATTCATTTAAGTTTTAACCATTGGAACTGCAATAGCATTCATTCATAAATATCAAAGAAAATTTATTTAGTCTCTTTATATTAGTTGTTTAATGAATATCACAAGAAAATTTAAATGAAATATTATCAGTAAATATAGTCTAATAACCCCCCAAAATGTGAAGTTAAATTGATTAAAAGTAGGCATGTACCATAACTAATTGTATTACATAATTAAAACTTGATCATGCATATATAATCACATTTAGTTGACTTGTATTTGTGAGGAAGCATAACTCATATAATACTATATCCATTACATTTATTTTCATCATAATAATTCGACATATAATAATGAAAAATCTTCAATTTTTGTGAAACAATACAAATATAAACTTTTACAATCATATTTACCAAATAAATTATAAAATTTAAAATTATTTAAATCCTAAAAGCTTCAAAGATTCTAATTTTTTTTCAAAAATACCTAAAATTGGGATCAAACCTAGATTCGAACTTGTGATCTATAGACCATTCATTTAAGCTTTAACTATTCGCGCTGCAATAGCATTCAATCATAATTATTAAAGAAAATTTATTTAGTCTCTTTATATCAGTTGTTTAATGATTATCACTAGAGAATTTAAAATGAGATATTATCGATCAATATAGTCTAATAACCCCTAAAATGTGAACATAAATTGATCAAAGGTTGACATGTATCACAACTAATTATATTACACTATCATAACTTGATCATGTATATATATCACATTCAATATACTCGTATTTGCGAGGGAGCATAATTCATATAATACTATATCTTTTACATTTATTTTCATCATAATGATTCGACTTATAATAATGAAAAATCTTCAATTTTGTGAGACATATCTGAATATATACTTTTACAATCTCATTTACCAAAAAAATAAGAAAATAAAATTATTTAAATTCTAAAGTTTCAAAGAGTCTAATTTTAAAAAATATATACTTAAAACTGGGACCTAATCTAGATTCAAACTCATGATCTATTGACTATTGTTTAGACTTTAACCATTGGGACTAGAATAACATTAGGTCATAATTATGAAAGATAATTTATTTAGACTCTTTATATCAGTTGATTAATGAATATCACTAAAAAATTTAAAATGAGATATTATCAATAAATATAGTTTAATAACTCTTAAAATGTGAAGATAAATTGATCAAAGATTGACATATATCATAACTAATTATATTACACAATTATAACTTGATCATGCATATATCATAATTTGTGTGTTCATTGATAAAAAAAATAGATATTAATTTTTTAGGACAAATTTTTTCATTCTATTATATATTAATAAATGGTATGTAATGATTTTGTATATAACCTTCTTCAAAACTGAAAAAAATATTATAAAGAATTTTTTTCTCTTTGTTAGTATTCGTGTGTTTCTCTTTATGATAATCAAATTTTATTACATTTACTTCGTAGTTTAATTTATATATTGATAGTGTTTTTTCTTGTTGATATGACTCGTTATTTAATTGATTATTTTTATTTAAATCAAATATTAACAAGACATCTTAATATATCGTCGTTAAATCTTTAATATTGTAACAAAATGGTAAAAGTCGTTGAAAATAATTTATGATATTTCTTTAAAATGATTAAATTCTTAGATAATGCGTAATTTATTTTTTGAAGGATCCTATATAGATGTACCTTATCAAAATTTTATAGTATCCTATATTATTGAAACGTCCATAAAAATCAAATAGCAAGAAAAGTAAAAAAAAAATTAAAGTGAAGAAAACTTTCATCTAGCTTGAATTTCAAGAATGAAAAATATCGTATAAATTGATCGAAATAATCTGTATTTATATAGGTATTTATGGATGCTTTCCGTTTTTTAAATTTCATGAAAATAGTATCAAAACTTATGTAATTGTTTGTCAAGAACATTGATGCTCTTTCCATTATATTTTCTTTTTGAAGAGTATTTGATGGATTTAAGTGCTTTTGAAATTCAGAAATTGTTGAGAAGAATAAATTAATTTTATATTTTGTTAATTTCGTAAGAAATCATAAATAAAACGAAAAAGTGCCTAAAATACCGTCGAAGTATTGGAAATAGTACAAAATTACACTTCATTCACCTATTGGCTCTAAAATACCTTTCCACCCACCTATTGGCTCCAAAATATCCTTCTCATCCACCTTTAGGTACAAAGTTGACCACTTATTTAACGATTTCAAAATTAAACTATTTATATATTTTTTTAAATACGTGACACTCAACTATTTATTATAATTTAACTTATCACTATAATTTATAAATCAATTCACTACCCACTTATTACTAATTAAACCCCACAAAATTAATAAACCCGTCACATTTCCTAATGCAACAACAACAAAACTACTGGCAATGAGTGTTTTTAAAATTTTGAGGTGAAAATATCTATAGAAGTAAATTATCATACATTCAAGTGTCTAAATAAACATTACCGATAAACTTAAAAGTCTGACTATGTTCATCTTAATTATTCTTTCATCTCAATTATGTGATGTTACTTCATAGATAATTTGTTAAAAAAAATAATATATACAAAGGTTTTAAAACAAATCATAAATATTTATAAAATTATATTTTAAAAAAGTGAATGAATCAATTCGGGATGTACTACTTCTTTACCTTTAATTATAAATTTCAAAGTCAAACTTGAAAGAGAATCCTATTGAAAGTGTCCTCCTAAATAAGCGGCTCAACTTAAATTTGATTGGAACTTCGATTCGAACTCGAATAATTTTGAATGTCATTTTCAGAAATCTATAATTTTGTCGTGTTTTAGTAGTGTTTATGGCGATTTTGATATTATAATTGGTTTATTAATAGGATGGGATTTAGTTAGTAATGACTGAGTAGTGGGGTGGACTAAAAATTATATTAATAAATTAGATTATAACCAATAGTTGAACGTCAAGTATTTAAAAAAATATTTAAACAATTTAATTTTAAAACCGTAAAATAAGTGGTCAGTTTTGAACCCAAAGGTGGATGACAAGGATATTTTGAAGTCAATAGGTGGATGAAAGGGACATTTTGGAGCAAATAGGTGGATGGAGGGTAATTTTATATCATTTTCAATACTTCGAGGGTATTTTAGGCCCTTTTCCGTAAACAAAATAATAGTTTTTACTAATTTACATTTAATTTTTTTAAAATTTATAAATTTTATTTACACTTACAAAAAGAGAGAAAATGTTATAATAAAATTAAAAAAAAATTGTAATCAATCATATTTTTAAAAATTAACAAATAATTTTATCTAAATAATTTTGAGATCAAAAATAATATTAAAATGTTAGATATAGAATGAATATTTTTTTTTTTGGATTTCATATTTCCATGAATAAAATTATATAAGTATCGAAGTAGAGAAATTTGGAACATTAATTGGAAAAGAAAAGTCAAAGAAAAAGAAATAAAAAAAAGTAAGAGAAAAAATCGTTAAAAGAAGAGAGAAAAATGAATTTGGATCATTTTCTGAAATGGAACCCAACACTTTCCACATGACATAATAGAGCCTCATGTCAGCCACCTCTTGATTTGGGTACAAAAAATAAATGAACTTACCCGATCACCCTTAATTTTTCAGCTATTGATCTTCTAAATCTGTTATCTTGTGTTCTGCCATTGCAATCATCTTGTTCTTATTGTTGTCTAGTAATAGAGTAAGCACTGTTGCGTATTTGCAACATATGAACACCTAAAATGAAACATGAAATAAATGTAGTAACTTCACAAATGCAAAAGAAACAAGGTTGCGCTTGAGGGAAATTATTTTTTCCAGATCACGGTGATATCTGAGCCAGTTTACATGCACCATGGCCATTTACAATACAAAGTGTCAGCATGCAAACACTTAGAAGAGACACCTTGCATATAATTTCTGTGCATTCCTTAGTTATCCAGTATGCTTGCACTAGTTACACGGAGCACCTACTATCACCAACCAGCATAGGTACGAGGCAGTTCTGCTCACCAAGGCTTGGACATGTGAAAAATGAAACCATCTATCAGATCTAGGACCTCATGGTTCTCAGTTCACTTCATCGACCACTGGCCACTTCCTTGGGTGCAAAAGTGAGCTGTAAAATAAGCCACAAATGTCGGATATGGTACATCATGAAATGAAATGTCATGCTCTTCCAAATTCAGTGATGGCCAAATACATAAGCAGATCCCTAAACTTGTTGGATTTTTTCCCTCAGGTACCTCAACTACGTCATTTTCCTATTGAATCATTGAACCCCCATGATTTGTTCCGTTTAAACAAATATCGTTGTCTGATGTGGAACCAGATTTGTGAGGGATATTGATAGAGGATACATACGCTGTTCCACAAATCATTAGTCCAATTGATAGTGAAAATGTTTGAGAATAATTGTGTTTTACTAAAGTCATTTGAACACATTAGAAAACAAATGAGACTAACACGGTTTGTCTTCATTCCTTCAATCAAAATTATTATAATTCGAACATAATTAAAGACATTTACAATAGAAAAGCTAATCAAAAAATCAACCAACAGTGTTTTAAAGAAACAAATTATGGGTGGTTCAATGATTCAATTGAAAAATGATGTAGTTGAAGTACCTGAGAAAAAAACCCAACAAGTTTAGGGATTTGTTTATGTATTTAGCCTTCAGTGATTGTTTGATGACTTTGCCTCGTTGGTGAAGGTAATGCTAATATTGGTTTTAGCCTCTGTTTGGGACCAAATAAATCTTTTAGGAGTAACATTAGTTGAAAAAGGAGGAGATAAGATCAGAATTCAAGGCATTGGAAATAGATAATTGAGAAAAGTGCATGAGAAGGAACAACTACTCATTATTTCAAAGGAGTCCTGAAAAATGATTCTTCCATTCTCCTTGAAAATCATAACTTCATGAAAACTCCAGGCAATAATGGGAAGAAAAGCACACGACTAACAATCTCTGCCCAATAACAAGCTACGAACAAGAAGTTTCTTACTCTAACTTATTATTCGTCCTAGATATCAAACGAATATTAAGAAAATAGCCTGGTAAGAAATTCACATAGTTAATGAGAAGGCATTCGCTTAAAAGAGAACAACTAATGCCTCGTGCTCTTATTTGAGAAGGGGTTGTTCTTTCCCCCTTTTCAGCTCTTTTGTTAGTCAAAATCGTTCCAACAATCATTTAACACAGTCTCACTAGACTATTTGAAGATCTTTCATCTTAAAATCCATGGTTGTAGCATTTTATAATTATGAGAAAATACTCAACTGTGCTCATTATGTGTCTGTTGTCAAACTTTTAGTTATTTCAGAACCAGGCATGACTCTTAAGAGTAAAGTAAAAATCCCTAGATAATAATGAAGTCAACTGAAAAAACAAAAAAGAAGAAAAGGATAGGCCCTGCTACTATCCCACAACGAAACATCATAAAACCTTTATCCTGATTATAGTGTTAAGCAGTTCAAATTCTCCTAAAAAGTAATACCTACATTTATCTAAGCGATTTCATTTTAAACCTGCAAACAAGCTTCACAATGGCTGTCCTCTAGTTGATTTACATACCTTATGCATTCATGCATTGTCAATTTCAACAAGTTCTGTCGAAGCTACCGGTCCTGCAAAAGTAGCTCCAAAAAAAAACAAATCTTTGCATTGAAATATCACAAGCTGAACTAGGCTCAATAAAACCTTAACAATCTTGGATAGAGCAATTTGAGATGTAATGCCAACAAAGCCAATCCATTGCAGAAAATCACCAAATGCCTGTATGCATACTTCCGAAAGAAAACTGTTGTAAAATATTCATTGTTGATAGCCACATAAAGAAGGCCAAGAAAATGCAAATGAATATCACTGAAACAATCAAAATTAAGTCTCACAAAATTACATAAACTTGCTTAAGTTGTTAGTTGTTTTTGCTACCAATCAAGTGATGAAGAAGCACACCTGCTGCAACACTTACATTCAAGCTCTCCACAGCCATAAAGGATCTAAAGTTCTGACCTAAAATACTATTATCACTCTCAGCATCCTCATCTTCTGCAGCGATTATATCCAAAGGGATATTTCCCGGAATTCCAACTAATTCAGTACATGACCTCTCCACCAATGGTCTCAGACCAGTCCCTTCACTTCCCAAAACAAGGATTGTAGGAGCACCAGGCACAATCTTATGCAATGGAACAGCTCTTGAAGAAACAGAACCACCTAGGACACGCCATCCATTTTCTGCCGAAGACGTTAGGAACTGCATCATATTCTTGCAAGACCTCAGCTCCATTAATTCAAGTGAGCCTGCACTTGCTTTGCTCACTACCCCACTCAATGGAGCAGAGTTCTTAGCACACAAAACAATCCCAGAAGCTCCGAAAAAGTAAGCAGACCGTATAATTGCACCCAAATTCTGAGGATCAGTAACCTCATCCAAAGCAACCCAAAGAGGAGTTGTATCTTCCTCTATTGAAACAGGTTCCAATTCCTTGATACCAACCATTTCCAATGGAGAAGTATCGAGGACCAGTCCTTGATGAGGCCTGTTATCACTAATCATATTGAGGTCATGTTTAGATACTTCCTTTATACTTAATCCAACTTTCTCCGCTGTCCTCAAAACTCTCTCAAACCCTTTCTTATCCTTCTTCTTCCTGTTATTCCCACTCAAATCCAACCCTTCCTGAATATAGAGACCATAAAATTCCCTTCTCCCAGCTGACAATGCAGCTAAAACAGGGCCAACACCATAAACCCCCTCGCCTATCATTCTCGGTAGGGTTGATTCAGAAGCCTCTTTCCATGTCTTTTTACCCCAACTATCTTGATTGTTCCACCTTCTAACCTCCGGCCTATCAGACCTCGGTCTTACCTTAATCCGACTGAACCTGCTCTTAATCCTATCCCATCTCGGATCATCCATTTCTCCTTCATCATCTTCTTCTCCACTATTACTTGTGCTCTTATAATTGTCTCGTCTATCCTCATATCTCTTAAATTCTACACTTCCCTCAGCACCTTTAAACAATTTATCAGCCGATTCCCCCCAAGAAGACCTGTTCAGAACCACCTTTTCAGGTCTTTTAGTTTGTTTAACTTTATCTTCTTCAAGCCAAGGAAGACTCTTTTCACTACCCTCTGCAATTTCCGTTGAAAAACTTCTAACAGTAATCGAATGTTGGTGAGATTTCGGGCGAACCCCACATGAAAAGTTCATAGATATTTCTAAGTTCCAAAGGGGTTTAGTAGAGCAGAAAAGGAGTAAAGATCTGGGGGTATGAAACTGTTTCAGCATAATGGATAAGAAACCCTTTAGAGAGAAGATCAATGGCTGCTGCGAGCTGGACTAGATTCACCTCAAGGATTTTAGGAGGGTTTATCTCCACCCTTGAGGTTCACCAATGTTCAATAATGGCCCCTTCACTTTCAAATTATGGCAGATGTAGCATTTCATTCCATGCCAAAAGGGTAGGCAGGGTATGGTACCATATTTGAAATTGATATTTGATTTTTAAAATGTTATATTTCAACTCCTATAAGTGAAATGAAATCTATAATCTATTTAAGCTCATACAAATTTGGACAAAATGAATTAACATTAAAATTTATATTCGAAATATATAATTGACAAATGAAACATATTCTTTTTTTTGTTTTGTTTTTGAAAAACAAAAAAAGTCTAGGAATGGGTTAGTGGAACGAGAAGGAGAGGCTAAAAAATTATTCTTTTTGAAAAACAAAATTTTTTTATTTTTTAAAAAACAAATTTAAGAAAAGGTTGGTAGAAGGTGGGCGGGCAGAGATACCCCGGGGAGGGGGTAAATTTTTTATAAAAAAACACGATTTTTTTTTAGGTTGATGAAAGGGGGGACAGGGGGTGCTCGGGGAGGGGATAAAAAAAATTTGAAAAAGTAATTTTTATTTTATTTTTCAAAAATAAAATTTTCTTAGGAGTTAGTTGATGGGAAGCGCTCGGGGGTGGGGGTGCCTGTAGGGAGGAATAATTTTTTTTTTTGAAAAACAAATTTATTTAAATGAGATAGAACCATTTTGCAAAAATCATATTTGACCAAATTTATATTTGCTCATATTATATTTGAATGACTTTTAATCCAAACTATTTTTTCTCAATCCATAATTAACCCATCCAAATTTAATCCAATCCAACCATTGTCACCCCTATTATTATCATACTAACTTAATTTGATATTTTATAGTTCGATCTCAATATTTTACGATATGATAAATTGGTAATCATAATTCTTTTATGTCATTGATAGAATATCAAGTAGCTTTGGATCTTGTCCTAGTAATCTATCTTCAATTCATAGACGAATCAAACTATACAAATATTAAATTTTAAATTATAAAGTTATTAATCTCATGTTTTAAAAGCTTTTGCATGATTGTTATAGTTTTCAAAATAGTAGTAAGTCAGATAAACCGTTCGCTTGAAATTAACAATTATTTTGAGTGTCGATCACTATCTCAAGTTATGTGACTACTTTCATTTTTAGTCAGTTTCTATATCTTGTACCAATTGAACTTTGAAATATTTATTTTATCCATAACGAAATTATTTAAAATCAAACAAACATTTATGACTTATTTTATAACTACAAAGTCTTTTATTTTTAAACTCACTATTAAGTCAATCTACATCATATAAATTGAATCCAATATCCTACGTGGCTTATTTAAAATCACAAAACCCAAAAGACATTATGATATATTATATACATCTTTAATTTAAGACTAAGAGATTAAAAAATATTTTTTATTTACTTAAATATATGTGAGATAAAGAAATTGAAAGTGTGATAATGTACAAGTATAAATTGGAGTAATAAGTAATTTGAAATCAACAATAACGATAATTTTTCTAAGAAAAAAAAAGAACGACTTCCACCAATAAGTGTATAAAGTGTGACAAATGCCTTGGCAGAGCTTGTAACCGCTCCCAAAGAAGTTCCAGATATTAAAAAAAAAGAGCATCTAATTATGCTGGGAATACACCATAATGAGAAAACGACAATGATTATTCAAAGTAGGGGTTCTGCTAAATGCAATTCAGTTTCAAAAGCTTGTACATAGCTCAGAAGATGGCCAAATCATTTGTAATGGCCTGAAAACTCATACGACGACTAGTTTTGAACTGAGGGAAATAGAAAGCTAAAAAAAATGCGGCGAAAAAATTCTCATACTTATCTCATTGCAACAATATTAACAAACCTGAACCAATAACACATCACACTAGAGCTGCAGATTACAAATATAGACTGCAAACAACATGAAAACGGAATAGACCAAGTAAATGCCAACAAGCTACTCTATACAACCACAAAATCAACTGTGACACAAATTGTTCTCTGCCAAAAGGTTAGCTCAACTCTGACATCTTGAGTTTCTTTTCCTGCTTATCTGTAAGCAGAGAGGGACCGGACCACAGTCTTCTAAGTCAGAAGCACACCAAGATTCACTGCCTATCTCCATGTTTAAAGATATCGCTTTCTTGCTCCAACCAGAGCAGAAACATCATAGTCATTGGCATGCTTGTTGCTGTTTTACAATCAACCATCACGGGGTAAAAATAGGGGATTTCTAAGGCACACAAGGAGCTCCTGAGGTTTACGCGGAGTTGCTTCTTAAGACAATTATAGGTTTCCCTTGTGTTTTATTGTGTGCGTGTTAACCCACTTCGTGCTACACTCCTGCAGATAATAAGATTCTTTCAAGTTAAGAGAAAATTTCAACTTATGCAGTATTATCTTCGACAAATGAAGATGTGCTTGTCACAATTTCAACTTATGTAGTATCATCTTCCAAAGATGAAATACTGTAGTTAAAGAAAATTCAATTTGTTAGCAGCTTAACCAAACCAAAATCTTCTGTGGCAAAGGAAAACATAGTCAGCTGTGTGCTACTCAGAAACCACGCCATTTTCTTATATTTTAGCTAGCTGAACAGCAAGAACAGTACCATAGCTGTGATGAATCAGAATTTCCTTCTTGGACAAACTACATAACCATTGAACTCCCAGCTGAATTAATCTTTAGCAACAGAATTCTCTGGAAAAAATTAGAACTTCCACCTGAGTTTTATTATTAGCAGCCGAAATCCTCTGAAAGATCATTTTCAAGGCATGAGAGCTAATGTTTAGAGCTTTTCTCAGGCACAAAACTTGTGTAAGGAAAGCAAAATCTAGCACAAAACTTGTTGTCCCTCTTTAGGAGCAGCCTTCTTAAGCTGCTGATGAAGCTACACATGAGACTGTCTCAAACCATAATTCCAAAGTATTGACCACGGGTTAAAGTCTTTAGGTAGAATTTAGGCAAATGACTTGTAGGGTCATCTTTTCAACTAACATTTTAAGCTTCGGGTTGTTGCTCAGGAGCACTACAAGTTTGTGACAAAGGTTTTCATGGAGATCTACTCTGATACCTACTCTACCATCTACTATTAGGTCAGAGCAGTAGCATGCTGAACTCCTCACTATCCTAACTCCTAGGTTTTGTGCTCCCACCCCGCCTTCATTTTTCTTTTAAAATCCACTCAGAAGCATAGCAACACCTAAACATAGAAGAGAGCCTATGTAGGTGACAATTTAGCTCTGAATAAATAATTGGAGTATGAACCACGTTGTAAAGAGGTCCATGGTACATTGACAAGGTAGAGTTACATGAAATGACTACTGTCAACCTAACAAAAAAGTAAGGAACCTCAGAAACAGGGAGGATTCTCTTACTCTTCTTTGATTAAAATGCTTTCCAAGTAAGTGCAGATTCCAAGAAAACAGAGGTTGTAAGGCATCCCGCACAACATACTTACCACAGAGATGATGACCCAAACACCTTTGGTAAATTTATTCAGGTCGACGACACACATCACTCGTCTTCTCTTCTTTCTTTGTTTTCGAAAAAGGGTCCTATTTGCCCCTCTCCACATACAAACAAGTTATATTTACCCCTAGTTATATTCTTTGAATATGTTTACCATAATTAAAATTTTACTCTTTAACAAATATTCTACCCAATCCATTTTTATAAATTAAACCCAACCCACTCAATAGATCAACTTCTATTCCCTTTTCCCAGAAAACAAGACAAAGAGAGAGAAAACGCTATACAGAGACAGAAAACATTTGGTCATCAGGCCACACCCGTATATCAGTTTGTACAGCTTTTCAAATCAAAACTGCAAGTTGTCGGATTTTTAAGGACTTCTGATGCTTTTGGGTATTAATTACTAGAGTAAATGTTTATTATAGTTATTAATGGAAAGCAAAAGTTGGTAAAAAATAGATTTTTGAAGATTGTTCTTGTATTATAGTACTATGTTATTGTTCATTTTTGTGAAGTACTGTGAATGGGAAGATTGAGGGTGTTAATTATTTTCCTCTAGTGATTGTTGTAGTTGCAGCTCTAAGAGAAGAATCAATGAAATATAGAAGATCAAGAACAAAACTGGATGAATTCATACCACTGATGTAGAGTTCTCATGAAGATACTAAAGCTGAAATCACTAAAGATAGATTTAGTAGTGAAAAGATGAGTTGGATTAGCTCTAGAACAGAGCACGACCTTACATTTTCTTTCTGTATCCATTTTTTTAACAGAAAAAGTTACGAGGGGGTAGGCAGGTTTAATTTTAAAAATTGAAGTAAGTAGAATATTTATAGATGCCATGTAAGCACCACATAGGATAATAATAGTAACCGTCCAAGGGCAAATATGTGCCCAAAGTGATGGTAACATTGGTAATGGTAACCTATTTTTGAGAGTTGAGGAGCAAATATGACCCTTCTCCAGGGTTTTTTTTTTGATAAAGGTAACAGTCATGAGTGATCACTCTCGTTTCTCAAAAAATAAACAAGGTAACGAACTCAGAATCCTACATACACTTGAAAATGTCTACCAGATCACAAACTCAGAACCCTAGCATACACTTCAAACTGTCGACAGAACACTATGGAATTGTTACGTCCATATGTATCCCAAATGAAAATAGCAATATCTCATCTCTATCAAGGCTTAGCAAAGAATCATGTCAGTAACCTTTATGGACATTGACCAGCTACACAACATACACAAATGTATATTGATTTGTTAAAGATATATCTTTCAGTTTAAGATAACACATTTGAACATTGTCAAGTTATTACAACAAAGGGATGTGGGAACTCTGCAACAAATATGTTAAAAACACATCTACTTTCCAGTTTCCATCACTTAATAGACTGTAAACATGGTGAAAACAACCAGGAAAGCTAGAGAGTGGACATACTCTGGAGGTTAAATGCATACAAGTGCATAACTTGTCCCATCATCTTAAAGCATATAAGAAGGGCTAAAAGAATATTCCTTAATTCTTTTCTGGAATCAACTAGTATTTGTTAATACTCGCTCCGTTTAAAGTTGTGTGGCACAGTTTGCCCGGGAATGGAGTTTAATAAAGAAAAGACTTTTGAAACTAGTGGTCTTAAACATGACATAACATTTGTGTGGCTATGGCACTTAGAGACTTGCGGTATTAAGCGCACCACAATATTTGTGTGGCTATAAAAGCTTGACATTAAGGGTAAAATGGGATATTCAAGTTAAAATTATTTCCAAATTTATAAAGTTATTTAATGGAACGGACTAAAGTGTGGAATCGAGGGAGTAGGTCACAACATTACATCACAAAATGACATTTAGACACAGCAAGACGAGTTACCCAGGCATAGGTAGAAGATATATTGCAAGTATGCCAGAAGGAATCTTAATTTCTCTCTCCCAGGATCCAACAAGAATAACTTGTATGTCATTGTGCATAATTGAATAAAATGAGGATTGTTTGATAATCATATTGAAGACATACCTTCCAGGTAGCAACTGAGAACTGTTCACTGGACCCTTAGAATTTCCCAATCTGTTTGCCCTATTTTCTTGTTCTTTCTCAACACGCATAGCAGCGACCTCTTTCTCCATGGCAGCAACCTCCCTTCTCATCTTTTTGGCCTCAACTTCCATGGCTTTTGTTAAAGTCTCTACTTTCTTAGCTAACATCTGATCCCAAGATTGCAATCAAAATTAGCACAAACATCTGACTAAAGAAAACATAACTTTGCTTAGCAAGAAACCAGTCTAACCTCAATTGCATCGTCCTTGTCTTTAAGACTTTGATCCTTTTCATGGCCAGCTTTCCGCAAAGCAACTACCTCTTTTTGAAGTAAGTCATATAGTAGTCCAGGCACAGTATCTTCTGTTTCGGTTACTGGTAGGTCGGTACGTTTTTCATCTTGATTTGATTTCCAAGAAGTAGTTTCAGTCTCATTATCCTTAACTCCATCAACAGACTTGCTGCTATTGAAATTTGGACCTGTTACATTCAGAAGTTTTTTACCCCTGTCCAATGATCTTGAGCCACCATCAAATGACTTTGAGGTCCCTTTTGCATGCTTCAAAATAGTACTGGACCCAGAAGATCTCAACTGAAATGATGGTGATCTCTTTGGTAAGAAGCCATTAGAGGTCAATTTAGAGATACTTTCAGCTCCACCAAGTGACTGCCGACGTGAAGGACCATTGCTTGAACTTCTGCCATCAGTTGTATTGCGAGAGCTAGCGCTTGATGGTCTCAATGTCTCTTCCAAGACCTTGAGCCTCAATAGATATTTGTCCTGCGCAAATGATAGAAGTTAAAACTTGTGAAAATAATATCAACAACCATTTTTGAGTGCCCTTTCTATTGGACAAAATATTACTTTCAACAGAGCTTCTGACTTTGCAGTTCGTTCAGTGATTGCGAGCTTGTCACGTAGTTGTTGCATCTCACCCTGCAGTACAAGATTTAGGCTTAGATGAGAAATATGAGCTCGTTAAACCACATGCGCATAATGCAGTAAGTTCTATTAGGGCAGGATCTCTGTATCTTATAGAAGGCAAGCCATGGAAACTACCATACCTGCAAAATCCTCCTCTCTTCAAGCCACTGTTTCACAGGCATTACTTTATCATTTGCATCTTTCCATTCATTAGCAACCACAGTTGCTACCCTATTAGCTGTTACCTTGGCACGTGCTAGCTCGCGGTCAAGTGTTTTTCTTTCTTCCTGGAAGAATAGATTAGCATATGTATAATAACATTTAGTATTCTCGACATATTAATTATCAAATATATTTAATAAAAAAAATCTTTCTCGGATAGATTACATTCATTTCTTGAACTTTCCGTTGGTAATCCCGGACAGCATTAGCAGCTGCACCACCAGCCAGAACAGCCTCCTCAAGCTCGCGCACACTTTGGGTAAGTTTTTCAACCTCTGCAACCTTTTGGCGATGCATTCTGTCTAGAATTTTATTTTCTTCCTGATGTATGTTTATGAAACAGAATAAGTGGAAATAGAATGCATGTTATGCATCTAAACACTAAACACTAGGCTGACATTAGTTCCAATATGTGTGACAACATTTCATGGAATTCTTCCAATTTTTTAAAAGATAAAATAAAAAACAAATATTTCATGTCTAGGCAAAGAGAATTTTCCCAAAAACAAGAACAAATATTTCATGAATACATTGAAACGTTTTCTTATAATAAATACCACCTAAATGATCCAATATCTTAAGCAGCAGAACCAATAGTTGGATCATCAACATACCTGGCATATTTCTATCTGTTTCATCAGCTCTTGATTCTTATTCTGAAGGTCATCCACCATAGACGCCTTTGCTAATGCTGACTGCACAGTTCTTTCGGCATCAAGTAAAGCTGCCTCTTTTGACTTGGTAAGACGGTCCAATGCCTTATTATCATCTTGTAGTTTCACAGTCTGGAAAAAAATAGAGCAAAGTGTAAGTAAGAAAGTGTCCTCATATGTAGACTGAGCTTTAACATCATTTACAGACATGAAATGCAGGCAGACACCTCATGACGAGCAAGTTTGAGTTCAGCCTCCAAAGGTGCAAGGATGGCCTCAATTGGCGGCATATCATCATCCTTTTGAGCAGCATGGACCCTTCGAAGAGTGGCTTCCGCTGCAAATTGAGCTGCCATGGATGCTTTCTTCTCATCATTGATTTTCTTGATTTCAAGATTCTGTAAAGCAAGAAAAGTATTGTAAGTTATAAAATAGTTTACTGAAAAAAAATGAAGTACCTATAATAAGAAGATTCTGAATTAGTACCTTGCTTTCTAGAAGTGATTCTGTCAACTTGAGCTTCTCATCAACCCTTGTCAACTCATCAGTGAGCTGAATTACAGGTTGTAGGACAAGGAAAAATACCATATGAACATTTTTTTAAAGACTATGAGTAGCTTCTATTTCACCACAGCAGAAACAATCAGATGTAGCCAAATAAAACCAACAAGCAGACGTTTTATGCAAAAATGCTGTTGCCAAAACTATAGCACAAATTAAACCATAATCTAGATATTCCTAGATTCAACAAACAGACAGCACATTCTCAAGTTTTACAGTTTATGCGTGAGAGCATGAGCCACGACCTTCTCATTATCAGAGATGTTCCCAACCCCTATCCCTCTACCTCACCCCCCAGAAAGTAAACATTAGCCAAAGCGCATTTCCATGCAGCTTCCTAGAAATTTTGGAGATTTCACAAGAGCTCACCTTCTTCTTCTATAAATCTCTTGGATATTGCATCAAAATTTCAAATCTTCACATGACACATATTTAACTTTCCAGGTCAAATAAAGCATCTTTAAAATATCATTAATATATTCAAGAGATTAAAACAGAACTAATCATGATTCCCGATTCTTCAAATAGAAACAAACAACAAAAAATAGTAGTAAATCCAGTTAAATGACTGCAAATCACATTCAAACACGATTAAATATGTACGAGTAAAGTACCTGCTGTTTTAAGGGTCCAAACACATGCAACAGAATGTGACAATTGAAATCCTACAATTTCACTTTTCACACTTCTGGAACAAAATAAATACAATAAAATCCTACATTTCCTTGCATAGAAAACACCCTATATTTTCACTTTAAATAAAACCAATGCATTACCCCCTTGGTTATTTGCATTCAGTTAATACTTTATAATGGGGAAAAAATCACCTTTTGAAATTGAGTTTACTAGCAGTCAACAATGATAAAACAGTGTCGTGGTTGTATTCCAGAAAGATATACTATATCATAATTCATAAAATAAGATTTCTCATTGTATATTCAAATATTGAATACTATACCTCTTCAACAGCCTTTTCTCGTAGGCGTTCTGACAACCGTAATGCCTTGATCTCCGCTTGAGCTTCCGAGAGTTCCCGGTCCTTATCTGAAAGAAAACGACCCGGTATCATTCACTACAAGGAAACGAGAACCAAATCGGAGTTGGATCCAGCTGACATTACAAACCTCTGACTTCATTCTCCAGTCGATTTAGCTCCAACTTCACCGGATCCGACCCGTGAAGCAGGTTCATGAACTCGTCGGCGTCGAGACTGGGCCTCACCACCGACATCCTTCTCCGGTAAGTACCCTTTCCTCCTCCAGACACTGTCGGTGTAAGAGCAACTTCATTCGTCGCCGTTATCGCATTGCCGGTGTTCTCGCCGGAAGTCATCTCCGGCGTCTCCATCACACTTCCATCCTCCGCCATTTCGATCTGTGTAATTTTATCCTATCTCACATCAAATTCAAAACATATCGATACTAAAGTAACTGAGGAAGTATATATTTATTTATTTATTTATTTGAAGATAAACTCATGTGCTACTAGCCGTGTGACTGTAGAGTTGAGAAAGCTTCTTCCCCTCTCTCTCTCTCTCAACCCTAAAATCAAACTGATGTATTATGAAAATTGAAATGCTTTATGGTTTCTTCTCTTTTTACAAAATTGTACACTTCTGCTCTATCTCATATGTCATTGAGTCGAGAGAGAAGAAGAAGACTCTTTTTGTGACTATTCTGTTTTTTTACCTCTTTACCATATTTGAATATACTATTACTAAATTTATCAAAAACCATTTTATACTTTGTTTTTATTTAATGCACATTTAAAATTTATGATTTATCTCCCAAAACTTGATAATTTAATACTCTTTCATGTGAGGTGCATTATTTGGATTAAATTGGAGAATCAAATCAGATCTTAAGTTGAATTGATTTCTTTTGTTTTTGTATTTAGTTTTGAATTAATAATTTAGTTGATTTGAGATAAATTTGTATATATTTCATTGAGTTATCTTCTATAACTTGATTTGAAATATATTTCTAAATTTTCCTAGATTAATAAAGTCATTTTTTATTCATATTATAGTTATTTAATTTATCTTATTTTCCTTTTTATTTGTGAGTGTTTGAAACTTCTTCTCTTCTTTTTTTTTCTTCTAAATTTTAGGTGGCATGTTGGGCCATTTTATTTAATGTTAATCAATCAACATATTAGTCTAGCCAATCGGCCCAAAAAATTAACAAAAATTAAAATAAAAAAATCTAAAAACAATGAGTCCAATCCACATCAAACCCTCTATAGATAATAAGAAGAGTAATCTAATAACATCCGCCTCTCATTTTCCTTTTCCAATATTGGCTTCAAGATGTTTTCTTACGACAGTCTCTAGAGCCTCACACTTCGCTGCCTCTTTTTGTGAATCTATTTCTTTTTTTATCTCTTTTTCACCGTCTTTTACACCTCACAGAAAGGCATTCACTACTGAGAAGTAATCGATTGTCCTTTCTTTTCCTTCTTTTCTTGTTCTTTCCTTGTCATTTGACCTTCCTCTATCGTTGATTAGGAGGTAATGTATTGTCCACCAATCTTTCACTTCACAAAGGTAGCAATTTGAAGTTCTTAATACGAACACATAATCGTCTTTCTCCTATTTGCTTATGCTTCTTACTCCATTTATATCTGACTCTCTTTTGTACTATGTGAGCTGATTTTGTGTTTTATACCCAATTTTGCTTGAATTTTATGTGACCTTCATGCTTGAATATTAAAGATGATGTTGCACCTCTGAGTTTGATAAAAGTTTTTGTGTGCTAATATAGATTAAAAAAAATTGTTAATGAAATTGTAATGACCCCATTCTAAGGGCATGCTCGTGTGTATTTGAGTGTGTTCTAAATTCTTGCATGTATGATTAATAGCTAGATTTGCTTTAGTTATTTAAGAAGTTGACAAAAATAGTGCATAAGTATTCTTAAATTATGACTGAAATCTCATTGACACACCTTAAATTAATTGGGATTCAGTTGCTCCCGTTTCTAATACTTTCAAGCGCCTTCTACGATGACATGTCATCTTCAAAGATATAAGTTTATTATATCTGTGTACATGTGTCTACCACACTTGCAAATAGTTTTTTAAATTTTTTTACAAACTAACTTCACTTTTTTTTAAAAATAATATTTTCAATTTTCTTTAGATTATCTTATTTTCTTTATCTTTTATTTAAAGTAAGTTAATACACATAAAAAAAAATTAAAAACTTTTCTTTGTATTCAAGTTTTTCTTTAGTATGTTTTTATATTATCATCCTTCAATATTTTTTCTCTTTTATTTTTCTATTGATATGATTTAATCTTTTATTTTCTTTGTGTTTCCTTTTGATTTGATTTCAAATTTAATTTCAAATACTTTATATTTAAAATAAGTTAATTTTGAACTGATATTATATTAAAATAAGTGAAGAAAATCAAGTTAAACACAAAAAATTAAAATGTTAAAACTAAAGAATACTTTATAATTATTTTTTGAAAAAAAATACACATAATTCTTTTGACATAATTTAAAGTGAAAAGATAAGAAATTAATGTAGGTAAAAATAACTCAAAAAGTTTTAGGTGAGAAAGGAATTTAAAATAAATAATTTACAAAGAATAAATGAAAATAATTCAATATATATAATTAAGTTTTAATATCATTAATTTTGTGTATGAACTAGTTATAAATTTACCAATTAAAAAAGGACATGTGCCTGTTTTTTTCACTCATCACTTGCCTTCAAGAGAATGTAAACATTCTCTATGACACACCAACTTTTAGGGTGTATTTGTTTCATTTTAAAATAATAAATAGGGGGTTAATAGAATCCTACTAATGTTAAGGTCTATCGTTGAGATTTCCATCATAATTCTAACGATACTTAAGCATTATCCTATTTATTAATTTAGATAAAAGATTAAATTTATTGAAAAGTAATAATTTATATGCATTAATAGTAAAATAAAATTAAAGGAAAACAAATTATCATAACATTTTGATAATTTGGACCCAATAAGGAACCACAGAGAAGTTGATTTTAGCAGTGTTGTTGCACAAGAGGATCAAGAGACACAACATCACTTGATGACTTAGTTGCATCAAGATTTGACCAAACATATTTTTCATTATTTGTTGCTCTTTTAGAAAAAGTCTTTTCATAAATTGACAATATTTTTTCAAAGATTTTTTTATGATAAATTGAGATTCATAAAATAGAGGGAAAAATTACAAAGGTCATGCAATTTCACGATCTCAATAATTAAATTGCATGATCATTGTATTTTCCCCCCTCTATTATGTGACTCTCGATTTATTATTAAGAAAATCTTTGAAAAACTGTCGTCGAGTGATGTAATGACATTTTTCCCATAGCACAACTAATAGTGGAAAATATGTTGGTTCAACTTTTGATGCAACTAAGTTATCAAGTGCTATTGTGTTTGTTGATCCTCTTGTGCAACAACAATGCCAAAATCCACTTCTCTTTGGTTCCTAATTGTCTCCAAATTATCAAAATGCTATGCTAATTTTCCCATCCTTTTATTTTACCATTAGTGCATATAAATTAATACTTTTCAAATAGTTTGCTACTTGTTTTGAATTAATAAATAGGGATTGTAATGACCTCTAGGTCAATTCTGTGTTTATGCATCATGTTCATCGTTTAGAGATTTCTTGTAGTGACCCAAGTCATTTCTGACTTGCTGAGATTGATAATTCGGTCATTTAGTCGTCCGTTTAGTTTTTGTGTGAGTTTTAGCATTTTGGAAATTCTAAACCTTGAACAATCATTTTCTAACATAAGTTCAAGATTATGACCTCTAAATCCAATTCCGTCATTATATCTGCTCAGGTTGGGTCATTTTAGGCTAGTAGCATAGTTGACATGATTCTTGAGACTTTGAGTGTGAGTTTGTGCGATACGACGTTTTAACTTTCAAGTTAGAGCCTAAGTTTGACTTCAGTCAATATTCTGGATAAAGAGCTCAGATGAGACTGCTGTCATTGTGGTTAGCATAGAATTGTTGATTTTGGTCTAGAACGACTCTTCGTTTAGATCTCGAGGCTTCTGGGCTAATTTTAAGCCCATTTATGAATTTTGGCTTAAAATGGAACTTGGGTGTGGAAACCAAATTTCATCGAAACGATCTTGAATGGAAGTTTTGATGGTTCTATTGAGTCCAGAATGCTGAAGATGATAGGGTAGCATATTTTATTTGTGCACTCGAGGTTCCATGAATCTTGGGCAACCCATCAGAGTTTTGTTGCCTCAGCACATCAGCTGATAGCTGATGCAGTGCAGGGCCTGCCCCGCGTTCACGCACCTAAGGTTGCGTTTGTTGACGAATAGCACCCTGGCAAGCGCGTTTGCACCTTGGAGCCACGTTTGTGGGTGGTAGTTAACCTGGTTTGTGTGTTTGTGCTAGGCTGCCATATTCGCATGTAGAAGTTGGTCCATAGGCGCATTCATACAACCCCTCTTCATTCATGAGGGCTAACCAAAGTTTATTTGGTGATTTGAAGTCCTATGTGTTTGTTGGAAGTGTGGCTACGTAGTGGAGTGACTGGGTTTTGTTGAGGAACCTCTGTTTGAGGTAATTTTGTTGTTGAAGGTGCTTCCCATCCTTGTTCGAGCTTATTTTGGGAATTCTTTACTTGTTGTTGTGTTGGCTGTTTGAGGCCTCGAATTGTGTTCAATTTTTGAGCACTAGTTTAAGGCATAGTTTATGGCCTCTTGAGGAGTCTTCCATGTATTTTGGTGTGGTCCCAAAATTCACTTTTGACTCTTAAATTTGTCATAACCATTTTTATGTTGTTTTAGTGTCTAAATTATCCACTAACATTCTGATCCCATTCTTTTTAGCATCGCAACGTTCAAAAAGGAAAAATATCCGACCTTGTAATTTGGAGCACGTGTGACCGGTCTACTGGTAGGCTACGACTTTCTTTCTAATTTAATTGTGCATGAATGTGTGAATTCATGATGATTAGTGTGATATCGGGGCGGGTATCTACTTATTCTTGCTTTCCTTCCTGAAGACCATGTTTTAGGATTCACTGCCATTGTTTCGAGGGTAATACATCGTTAGTTAGGGTTGTATGTGTGTTGTAGCATGCTATATGATTTACTTGTGTTATTACTTATTATGTGAAGCATGTCCCACCTTAGCTACTGATAGACTAGTGATGCCTTAGACCTATGAGCCTTGTAGCTTTATATGTCTCCAACGTTTTTTTGGATGGGTCAGGTCCTTGTAGACTAGAATAGTAGACTTGGGTATGATAGTATTCGCCTTAGTTTAAGTGTTTATGTAGCTTGTTATCCCTTTCTGTCTTCGTTCCCTATTTCTGTGACTCCGATGCATTACAGAAGGTTGTGTGCTTTCTCGGGATCGAAAAACCTTTGGTCTGGAGCCTTTTGTGATATCTTTGGGAGTGGATGATCCATGGTGGCTTGGAGCCTACCTGAGATCCTTTTTCAGAATCGACATGCCCCTGAGTCATTTTTGCTAGTTGGGTGTCTTACTCCCTTGGGAGTGGACTGGCTAGCTGGGCGACCTTGATATTTGAGATTTTCTATAGTGTCGACACGCACCTAAGTCACTCTTACTATCTAGGTGGCTTACACTCCTAGGAGTGGACTTTCTGGCTGGTCACATGGTTTGATTGTCACTATCGCTAGCTGGGTTGGGAGTTGAATGGTTCTTAGTTTCATGGTTGTTTGGATGGGAGTCGGACTGATGTTCTTAGATTCAGATTTGAGTTACTCTTCAGTCTTGTAGTCTTAGCCATTCTGTGTACCTCTCTAGGCTTATTGAGTTCCAGTTAGGTTTAATTGAGTTGTACTTAGATCTACTTCAGTATGCTCGTGTTCTTCTTCTTTTTCATATCTGCTCTGACCTCTATTTGTGTCTAATTGTTTTTGAATGATTTACCTTTCTTGCTTAGTTAGCCTATGATGCCTACTGAGTACCTTTGATTTGGCACTTATGCTACACCTTCATCATTCGTAACAGCTACGAGCGGTGATCGTTTGTGCCATCTTTTGCAACTTGTGGATATCTGAAACGAATGTGAGCATTTGGCGTCCTAGATCATTGTGTCTCCTTCTGTATATGTGTTTGTTAGTCTTTTGCCTTTAAGACGACTTGTTGTGGTCGATTTTTGAGACTTGTATTCGTTCATACTAGATAACTTTGTGCTTCTGACTTCCAAGTTCTGGAAGTGTTCCATTGTATATAGTTTTTGGTTTGCTTCTGTATCTGTATTTTCTATTGTTGGGGTTATTTTCTATTTAATTCTACCCTTGCTCATTGCTTGTCATTCTAGGTATGGGTCGACTTACCTACTAGTGGGTAATAGTAAGTGACATCATGACTCAGGAAGTCGGGGTCATGACAAGGATAGAGCATAAGCACCCCTGAATTATGACCAAAATTCCAGCGACACATCTTAACATAATTAGGATCCTATTACCCCTCCACCCAAATAAAAAAAATCATTCTTCCATATTTTTGTTCATTTCTTTTGTTGACATGATTCCTTAAACAAGATAAGTTAATTGTGTTTGTACAAACACCTACCACATGTGTAAATGTTATTTTTTTTAATTTAATACACGTAATTTCTTTTTTTTTTAAATATTGTCTTGTATTTAAACTTTTTAAATGTTGTTTTACCTTCATTCACTATTTTCTCTCTTTTATTTTCATTTGATTTCAATTGTTTTTTTTTTTCTTTTGATTTAACTTCAAATTTAATTCTAAATATCCTATATTTAAAATAAGTTAGTTTTGAGTGGATTTCAAAATAAGTGAAGAAAATCAAATAAAACAAAAAATAAATTATCACTTTAAAATTAAAGTTAATTTTTTTTAAAAAAAATAGACATAATTATTTTAAGCTAATTAAAATTAAAAAGATAAAAACAAATTAAAAGTAAAAAGATAAGATACTTAATACAATTTCATTGTTGAAGAAACTAAGATGCCTAAAACTAGCAAGACGGTTGTCCATGTTAAGTAGATTTCTATATATAATTTGAACATAAATGACCAGCTACTGGTCAGAACTCAGAAACAATGTATCAAAACTAAGTTGGCAGCTAGCTCTATCACCAGACTAATCATTTATGTATAAATATCCTATTTACACACACAAAAAAGCACTATTTACGTTTATCTTATTTTTTGGATTTGTTTCGGTAATTGTATATTGGAGTTTTCAATCATTGTTATTGGGTTATTTTGTTAATGGATTCTTATTGGTTTTATTAAAAAAATATCAAGTTATTGGGTTGATATTGATTTTCTAATATTAAGTTAGTGAGTGAATCGATAACCCATTAATATAGTAGTAATTTACTACTTTGCCCCTATATCAATATTGAATATTAATATGAACACCTTATTGATTACTACTTTTGTCAATTAGCCTTCAATACACATTATTGTCATAGGTCTTTTATTTTTGTTACACTAGTATAATTCTTTACTATTATTTCTATTTTATAGAATTCTGTAAAGTTACGAACATTGTCTTGTCGTGCCAAATTGTTGGAAAGTCCTATAAGTTTTAAATGAACATTTTCTTTTTGGTTAAACTGAAAACTGAAAATCGAACTGTTAAGGACCAAAATTTGATAGATCGAAAATCGATAAACAATATCTTACTGGTTTGATTATTAATTTGACGTATTTAAAAATTAAAAGATGATAAACTGACCCAATAATACGTAAAACCAAACTGAACTGATCGATGCACACCCTTATTTAAATTATGAAAACTCAGGATAAATCTAACAACTACTTTATTTGAAAGTCACTTTTGCAAGAGAAACAACTTTCTTGATTTTTTTATTTGAAAGTGATTATCGTAGTTAATCACATTATTAAGACAACAAAGTATCATTATAATATTTATATATTATAGATTTTAAATTGAAAGCGGTTAACGGAATATAATCATCCATTTAAATTGAGATATATTTGTAAAAAGAGTTTTAGGTCAATTCAATTTTGCATATTCTCTTATATATAATAAGAGACAGTTTAAGTAACTCAACAATTTAGGAGGTCAACATGCCTGCCTAACAACTTGGATGATAACTTGGTATTTTTTATTAACATGAATTGACATTATTGCTCAACAGGAATTCTATTTTTGTGTTTTTGTTGAATGTTACGACTAAAATTGCTCATCATTTCTCAAATAGTTTTTGCCATCACATTCTTTTTTTACCTTTTTTTCCTTTCACTAACATATGGTACTCTAAGAATTTTCTTGAAAAAGGAAATTATATTTTTATTGGACGGTTATATAAAAAAATTTATTATAAATTATAATAATTACTCTTAAAATTATATCAATGCTATATAAATTAGGTTAAAGGGAATAACATATATTATTTAAAATGTCATGAAAATAGTACATATCACAACAATAAATATCTTAAAAATTTAAAAGATATATACAAAATTTAAGTGACTTTAAAAATTCTGTTAGTGCAACATAAATTGAAATAGATGTTGGAGTAACATGCATTACTCAAAAATAACATGTAGGATATGATAAATCTCAAACAACTTAAAATATATTTGATTGACCCTAAAAAATTCTCTTATATAGTAAGAGACAGTTTAAGCAACCCAACCAGGAAGGAGGTCAACATGTTTGTTTGGCAGCATATTTAATTTTTGTTTTTCGATTTTTTAAATTCTTTTACCCTAAAACAAAGGATTTCTTCCTAATATCGCTAAAACATCAAGCACCAATATAGCCCGTTGAATTATTAGTTGATGTTAAGTCCAATATTTTGAAAATAAATTTTTACTTTTACTAATAAAATGATAAAATAGTCATGATAATAATTATTTTTTAAATAGATATGTAAGTAAAAATGAACGGAGAAGGTAGAGTGTTGGTGGCAAGAGATTTCAATCAACTGGAACACTAGAATGAATATAGCAGAACATAATGTTCGTCTTCATTCTTCATTGGATATGAATTGTTCCATATAATTGTACTTTTCTTTATATTTATATTGACTATGGAATTTTTTTATGTATGGGTTTCTTGTTTAATCTAAGAATATGTAATGTCATAAGATATACTCCCTGCTAGCTATATAAAAATAGATAAGAAAATAGTGATTGATCATTAAATAAATCAAATTAAATATTCTCAAAATAATAATTTAAATTTTATTCATTTAATAACTTTTTAATTAAAAAAGTTTAATATTTTTAATCACGATACACTTCTATAAGATACTAAATGCTTTCATTGGACAACAACTATAAGATATGTATGCGGTCAAAAAAATAAAAAATTACAATTCCGCAAAAATAAGGTAGAAACTTAAAGAAATGAAAAATTGTTCACCATAGGTAGAACTGTCAAAATGGGCCAGCCTAGCCTTTCACCACCCAAGCTTCGCGGGCCAATGAATTTGAGGGGTCGGGGGAGGATTGACCCTTCATTTCAAAGGGCTATAAAATGGTCAACCCGGCCTAACCCCAGAAGGGTCAAGGGCTGGGGCAGGTCAACCCTATTTTTTATTGTTTTTTTATTTTATGTCAAATTAATATCACAAAAAGTATCATTGTTTCAATAAGTCAAATAAAATCTAGCAATAAATATTTAAAGAAAAAGATAATAATCTCTTAAGTAAATAATATATAAAAAACAAATTAGCAAACTAAAGAACACTTCGTACTAAAATTTCAGTTAGCAATACATAATTGCTTAAAGTATTTTATTAAATAAAATAAAGAAACTAATTATGTTCAAGCCATAAATATTCAATCACATATAATTTAAATAGTGTTTACTATCCATGTCTTATATCCAAAACTAAATAATAAAGAAATTCATGAGGTAAGCTTCTTAGAAACTCCACAAACACTTATTACGTATCCAACACCAATGTATCATATTTTTCGTCAAGACTATTTAAAGGCCTAACCCATCGGTGACCCCTTAAATTTGGCATGAAGTTTTAGTTAGACATCTTAACTGAACAATGTTTATTTTAGACACCTCGTGTACGGTATCACTGTGTCATTTTGACACTTTTTTTCAAATCAACAAAAATATATGAGATTTATGTATTATACTCGTGAATGACATGCAAAGTGACAAATTAAATAATGACATTTGTCATTTGTGTCAAAACAATTTTAAATACTAAATTTTGAGTAAAAATAAAAAAATAATCAATGAATTAATGACATGTGAATTTATGCCCAAATAACTTTTAAAAAAAACTAAGCCAATATACTCCCACCCCCACAGCCTTCTTCTCCAAACACCCCACCCCATTTTATACACACGTTGTCCCCCCCCCCCCCCCCCCCCCCGGTCTGCGTTCACTATTAAGCCTACGCTACAAAACATATGAGCGTATTCACAAAAGAAAAAATTACTTCTATGTAAATATTTAATTCTTTGGAAAAGAATCTCATGAATTAATTTACTAAGTAAATCTTAAAATGGGTATATTTCTAAAACAATTTTTATCATTTTTCAATTGCTTATGGTAACTATTTTAATTCACCATAGTTGGATGTTTGAGTTTAAGAAATGGTGGTTGAAGGTGGAAAAGAAGAAGAAAAAAAAAGTTAATAAGTCAACTAAATTGGTTTTTCACGCGCAATCAACGAGTGTATCACACTCACTAATCCATGTAAGCAATAAGTGTCAAAATGACACAACAATTTCCTACTTGAGGTGTAAGTAAAAAAAGTTTGTGCCAAGTTTAAGGGGCTATTGATGGGTTAGGACTATATATATTTAAATCCTCGTGTGATAAAGTTTCATTAACATTTTCATCTCCATTTCCATCTCCATCTCCATCTTCATCTGAATTCATGTGCAATATAATTTGGTTAAATAATAACAAATAAGAAAACCTTAAAAGCTAACTTTGAGCTTGGATAAATCCGTGCAACCAATTTCGGATAACAATCAATGTTTGGACATTTTCATGATGAATAGAACTTCTATATTTTGTGAGAACACGATCACCAATGTTGAATGTTGATTCCGCTGCAACGGTAATAATCGAAATACTAAGTACATCACGCGCCATCACAGATAGGTCATGTTTTTTTTTTATAATAGTCCTTCCAATACATGATAACATCCATTTCTCTAAACTTCTCAAGATCAAGATTTGGTTCCTCTAAATAAAGATCAAATTCTGATTTTCCATCATTAGGAACAAATTCATTTTCAAATGCTTTGAACTTATAACTAGAAGGTAGACTAAATTATGAAAATTCATATAGCATTTAATAAATAATAACAATAA